TTTCGTTCTTTACAAGAACCAAGTATGAGTTAGCGGATCGCAATCCGCTTACTCCAAGGGTTCTGTTTAAACTCCAAACTGATTTTCATTTATATTTTTATTTTAATGTTAGAAGCTTAGATTTTCCTATATATATTTATAGGAAAATCTAAATACATGCATAACTGCTGGCTACCTAGCCCAGTACCGTATTCTTGCTTGGGTGTGTGGTCACATCATGCACATCTCGTGTGACACACACGCCCCTGTTATTACGGTTCGTGTAACCCCCGTTACATATAGTCTCTAATATGAAATAATTTGTCAGACAACCATAAAGGTTACGCTTCATCACAGGTTTTACTGTGATGACCCACATTTTTGCGAAACCGCATCTACGAACCTGTTACTTTTAAGCTGGACAGTTGCCTGTTCTGACGGAATACGACTCTTCTCAGGTCTTCCACGCGGGGGGGGGGCTTGCAATCACATGCTGACAAAGAGTATTAGATTGTAAGTGAAAGGATAGTTTCCCTTGAATGTTTGCTATATGCTGCTGCAAATGTTGGTGACTTCCATGCAGTATTTATTTATCCCACAAATAGCTCATTTAATTGCGAGATGTATATGTGTGTATATATGTATGTATATAACTTTACTCGAAGTATTATACACTTTATAAATTATTTATTTTTCAAATATCTGGTATATCGCTTTTATTTTTTCTGGTATTTTATTATATTTTCCCTCGATAGAAATGTATAAATTGTGGGAGGGTTAGTGCATACGATTTAAAGTATGTGCCTCGTAACGCTATCCACACAAAGAGTGGGACTACACCGAAATTTAGAATAATATTCATGTTTAAGGACACTGAAAAAAGTGACCACTCTACGAGCCCAGCACTCTACTCACTGCTTCCCTAACCATGCCTGCTCATCGGAGTGCACTTGCGTCAAGGGTCCGCTCCCATGCACCAATTTAAACAGCTCAACAATCTCTCTTCAAAAGCACGTTCTTTGCGACCGAAAGTGCCAAGAAATTATCTAGTAAGTCCGGTCCCAGCAGCACTCCGAACCCCACCAAACATATTTCCCTGAACTTGTGATGCACGGCCTGGTCGATCTCATCAGAAGAATCCAACGTGCTCAGCCTCCCCTTTACAAGTACTTTAGACTTTGCGCCTTTACCATCGGTGCAATGCCATTCGACACCCTTCCACGGATCCGATGACAATGTCCATTGTAATAGGGTAGGTCCCATTACATATGTTATGTAAACCATATAATCTTTGTGTCCGTCATCAATTGTAAACCCTGCATATTTGTATATCTCCTTTCAGTTCTGTTGTATTAGAACTGAAAAAAACTTATCAGGTTAGAGAGGTTAAAACGTTTTGGCTAAAATATTCTATGTCTCTTCACCTTTCCTCCTCTCCACATAAGTCGATGGCCCGCTGAAAGCGAGCAACATGCAGTACGGCGTGTCATTCGACCTTAGCCTTTGTCAGAAAGTGTGTGCACACGGATGGGCAATTTCCGTTACATTCTTAGAGCTCACGCTTCCGTACCTCTTAACCGAAATAGAAAGTGCACGCAAGGTGCGTATGAATTGTACTCCCGTAAAAGAAACACCTGCGAGTGTCGCGGGGCCGATCAGCAGCCAGGAGATCTTGCCATTGCTCCTCAGCATGGCTATAGACCGGTGTCTCTGGCACGCTTAGTATTGTATTTCCCAATATCTCGCACGCTCCCCGGTTCAAAAGCTATTATCTGCTTTGAATGCGACACCTACCGCTATCTTGAAGAGGAAGGGTAAACAGAGAATGTCTCGGCTCAAGCCGCATCCGTCTCAAGGCTCTCCATGATATGACAACCGTGCGTGAGGTTGTGATGTGACTATAGCTGTATCAGTTATTGCCTTCCGCTGACTCTCGCCCCCCCTTGACTGGTAGAGAAGATCGTCGAATGCCACCAATATATCAGGTTGGGCGATGCAATTAGTTGCGACATCCGTCACCTAACATTTTTCCATATTGGAATCGCCTATCACCGGGGTATTGTACGTCAGTCAGTGCTCATTCTCGCGTAGCCTACTGGCTTGGAAACATCACGCGTTGTCGTCCCGTATAGATTATGGCTGAATATATGACCATCATAACTTCACCCATCCAGAGTGGAAGATTTTTTGTCCTTGGCTTTTATGGCAAGCGCTCAGCACCAGCGGCCTTGTGGTGGTTCACCGGCGCCGGTCGGGGCGCTCCTGGATGTGTTTCACCAGCTCATTTTAAAGATGGTAAGCGCCTCCCCTCCCGGGCGAGCAATACCGCTTTTGGCCCTTTGACCACGAACTTACTGATCCCATCGAGGCCAATTTCAATTACAAGCTTGTTGAGCTGGTCTACTTGTTCAGAATAAAGAAATCTGATCAAGTCATATTGCATCCTCGCTGAGAATGCATTCTTCTCACGACTCGGTCGAGAGATTCACAACAGTTGCTACCAAGTGCAACGGGATTGCCGTGCACTTTGCACAGATGAGGCTTTGACTAACAGTAGCAAAGAGGCATCTAAATTCGTATGTCCCAACCAGGAGCGAAACTGAAAGTATCTACCGTATTTAGGAGTCTAGCTTGCTCTGCTAATTTAAGCGTGCAAAACAAGTTAAACGCTTCTACGACTGACACTTAGTATACACGCTCTGCTATTTACGATAATTTAGCTGTCTTTACACATTAAAAAGAGCTGTTACTTTTCAATATTTCGTGGACGTCAGGAATTAAAGACAGCTTGTTATATTATCATCATCACCATGCATGCCGATATTTTGGTGCTTTTGTTCAATCGTGCTATATGTGTAAGGTGAAAGTCCACAAAATAACAGCTCTTGCCTCGTTACAGTTACCGTGCACTCAACGAGTCTGCTTCAACTAGAGACAGAATTTATACAGGATATTTTTTCTGAGTACCTACTTTCTTCTTGACTTTTCTTCAACCAGACACACTGTTCCTTGATTTTTTTGGTGGTGGAAGTTTCAACACCCTTAGAAGATAAAAAACAATACTTATAGCTAGTAGCTTTTCTGGTTTTAATTGTTTGTGTTTGACAGCTTACCAGGAGTTTTGCCCGAGGTAGCGATTTATTTCTGTCCTAAACAGCGTGTTTCTTTTTTCAGACTACTTTGCCTGATAGCGCCGTTTGGCACGCACCAATCAAAATCTCTGTCAATGACACATTTTCGGTTTCAACAAAATAGTGCTAATCATTATCTCTGTCATTGTTCCTTTTCTGACTGGAGAAGTATATCCGAAAGGATTAAACTATATTTGTCCAACACAATAATAATAAAAATCAGAAAGCGAGCAGTGCTATCAATGATTTACCAAAACCTTAGCCTTTAGTAGATTCCGCGTTCTACCTGCCCTTTTACTTTTTTGGAGACGGAACGAAAAGTAGTGTTCTAAAAGGTTTTGATGCTGCTTTAGCATGGAATTGACGACCAAATTGTAGAGCGAAAGAATACAAAGCTTCAATACTGGGTATGATCCCTAGATTAAGTTAGGGAGATCCGACTTATAGGATCAGGCCGGCGTCGTCCCACGACCTAAAGGCTGCCATTGTGCCGAACTCAGTTTCAACTTGATGGTATATCTTGACGTCTCATTGATGCGCAAAAAACAGCGAGTTGATAGATTCATACGCCGTCATACAGGGCCATTACTGTGGCTCAAGATCCGCAAATGAACAGGCAGACAAGAATGAATAAAATACCAAATTACATATAAAATCAACGGTCTCGTATTACACAGTACGGCCACATTGCCTGGCAAGCAGAAAGCTTCTAGCAAAGCTCATTGGACCGTTTAAGGTATCAATCTGCAATGGTGATGCCTGCACTCTTGACAAAATACACGCATGCACCTACCTCTAACATTTGATGTTAAAAGCTGAAGCATTTTCTTCCAAACGAATTAGCGAACCCAGCGAAGGCGCTTGGGCTACGGTTTCTCCACATAAACCGTAGAGTCACAAGTTTATCGCTATGAAGATTATTCGTTGGCGCAAAGGAGTTTAGGAGCATCAAAGGACTTGCTATTAATAGCTTCCAATACAGGTGACGCAAATGATGTCGGGTTTGGAGTACCACAAGCACTATTCTGCCTTTTTGAAGCGAAGCTGCCGTAGATCTATGCTTAGAGGGAGCTAAGCTAAGGTCACCGACCTTACGTTCTTCCAATAACAAGTACTAGTGTAGCGGATAGCAATCCGCTACCTCCAAGTACCAGAAAACTTAAGCAAGGCAAACGATCACTTTTGTTTAGAATTAGAACTGTATTTAATTATTTTAGTTGCAGCAGAGCCGCCAACATCTAAATCTCTAGATGTTCAATAAATATGGTAATTTTTAATTAATAGAGCAGAATCTTATATATATAGTAATATGCACAACTACTGGAAATTCTGCCACATGATGGCTTCTTGTTACGGTGTAGCCACACCACTGTGTGATAACACTAGCTTGTGTAACGGTTGCACCATCTTGCCACCCGCCGTTTCATGAAAGGGTACGAGTAACCCGTTACACTATTCCCCATTAAAAATGTGAATATCCTCGGTTTACATTTAACGATTGCCTCATATGAGGCTCGCGTGTATGAGACACCTTCGCGTTCTTTAAGAACAATTTTATACATTTTTCGTTCTATGACTCCTGTGTATACTACACACAAAAAACAGCCTAGCTGGTTGCGAGGGTGCTTACAGTCAAAGCCTTTCTGTACAGGGTGAATCTCCGGAGAGCTCGCCCGCAGCTTCATGGAAAGCACATCCCAAGCCCCCAGCAACTGGGCGCAACACTCCGCGCCATCCCCGGACGGCAATTTCCTCGTTAAGGAGTTGAAGGAAGTCAACTACGACACTCCTTTCTCAACATGGGATGATGAGGAAAATAAGTGCGCCAACGGCGCAACGTAAGCCCAGCTCAAACCCTGCGGACACCATGTCGAGGTCGCTTACCGCTGTGCGGTAGACCTCGAGAACTTGGAGCCCTTTTTGCACCGACTGCCTTACATTAAGGATTATTGTGCTCTGTCAAAACAGCTCCTAGCCATCGAGCAGGCGAATACGTCACTTTGTGCGACGGTGGAGCACCTTGCGCCGTCGGAAACGGAAATTATTGCGCATCGTGGTCAGAATCAGTCGCGGGTTCAACTTCTGGGTAGCCGAGCGCCTCTGGGCGCCACCCCGGCGCCAATGCTTCCTCTTTCACTTGCGCCGGATTCCGGTACGGCTTAAGCAAGCCCACATAAAACACTGGGTCGATGCGCATCCTTCTCGGAAGGTTCAGCGATTAGGCAATGCCTCTCTTGGCCACGACCTTAAAAAGGTCCAATAAAGCGTGGACGGAGCTTCGTCTTAAAGACAGCAGAAACTGCATGTGTAGAAAGAGTCGTATCATTCAATAAAATCAGGTCTCTGATCTCAATGTTCTCAACCTTTTTTTTTCATCTTGCACCTGCATATTCCTTCTATCTTGGCTTTCAGCCATCGCATCACGAACGTGTCGTAAGATAGCATTCTATTAGACAATAGGCCTCCGACTTCCTTACGCACGATGAGGGGGCTGACATCAGCTAGCCGTTCGGCTATTCCTCCTCCACTAAGCCTGAGCCATAAGATGGCAGCGTCAGCTGGAGGCAAGGATTAATAAGCCCGTTCACATAGAACGGCGTATAGCCGTTAGATGAATGCACTGCGTTGTTCAGAAAAAAACTCTACGAGTGGCAACATAAGGCTCCAGCGCTTCCGCTTCACAGCGCCAACGCTACGAAGAACGTCTTCGACGACGCGATTCACGCGCTCAGTCTGACCATTGGTCTGCGGATGGTCCGCTGTTAACATAGTCAACTTGGTACCCAATACCCTGAAGAGTGTAGACCAGTAAAGCGCGGGTCTCTATCAGAGACAACTGACTCCCGAGACCCATGCTGT